AGATGCACATTTGTGAACTTGTAAAATGTATGTATAGATAGTAGCTTATATAAATCTGTATGTTTTTTTTCATTCAGGAAACAATGTGTTGTTACATAATTAAAGATATTAATTTCTTCCTTTTTTAAGAAAAAGGTAAATGTTAATTTGTTTAACAAGAACGGGCTACTTGGAAATGCATTTTCTGTGCTCCTTATAAATGCATCCCCAAGCCTGCCGTTCTTGAAGCTTTACGGCAGTTATTTCATTAAAGCAGCCAGCTGCCTCTTTTGTGAATTGACTGTTTAAAGCTACAGCTCTGAAGTTGAAGCCTCAGTTTTGACAGTCTGTAGGCCCTTAGCAGAGAAGTTCCATTCAAATATGGGGGGAGCGCCCCACCAAATCAATAGCTAGAATTAGCAGAAGCACGGAAAGCACAGGAATGAAAGGTTGGACAAGAAAAGAAGAGAAGGAAGAGGAAAAAGAAGAATTCGAGCACTCCTCTTCCAAGGTGGATACATTTAAAAGGAAACACCAGTAAGCAGTTCTGCCCAAGTTTATACCAGTTGCTGCCTCCTGAGGATATTCCCTTTGTCTCCTGATTTCTATGATCATAGGACTATATAAATAAGAAATAAAGTAGAATCTATTAACTGAGTACCATCTCACCTTATCTTAACTGTGTCCTTCCAGCTCAATGTATGGAAATGATAATGTTGCTTTTCTGTCACGTCCTGGCATATAGAATTAAAAATTGTATTTTATATGGTACGTATGTTTATTAGATGGGCTAGTCAATAAATTACAGTTCCAGTTAGAATGCATGGGATTATCCTACTACAGTTACTCAGGTGAAAACTTGGGGGGACTTGTAAATGTACTGGGGGCTATCTTGAGTCAGACCCCTGTCACTCTTTGGAAAAGTGTGACGTGACAGTGTGCGGATAAAGATGGGGCTTTTTGGCTGAGCTCCCAGCTGAGTTGCCTAACGGGCAGGCGGGCAGTCCCCACCACTTCTACAGACCAGTCGGTCAGGACAACAACTAAGTACAACACCTCCTACGGGCCTTGGGAAAGGCGGTGAGCTGGCGACCTGGCGCTAGCACCAGGATCTACCCGCAGGAATCAGTTCTAGCAGAAGGGACCCAGGGGACCCCGCAGTCCGCAGCGAGGCCCGCACCAAGCGCCTGCTCAACCATTGTCCTAGCGAGTGATCTGGGGAGCTGTGCTGGAGTGAGGGAGATATCAAGACACCTTGTCAGTTCAAAGCATTTTAGGGTTGTTTGAAATCCTCTCCACGTCAACGTAAGCAGTCTGTATTTGAACAGCTGCTTTGAACAGTGGAAGGGAATGAGCTGAATCAAAACCTGGAGGTGTCTCCCCGAGACACCTTCAACGTGCTTTTATGCGGGCGGAGAAAGGCAGGCAGAAGCGGACTCTACCCTGGCGGGGTCAGCGCAAAGAAAAGCTCCTGAGACGCGGGTGTGTGTGTGTGTGTGTGTGTGTGTGTGTGTGTGTGGAGTCGGAGTAGCTTCCAACTAGAGATAAATCCCTGAGAGAGCCCACGTCCCCGGAGCTCCAGGGAGGCGCCCAGGCGGGAGGCACTCAACAACCCGAGGCTACTAGGGACCCGGCATTCGCGCCAACCGGGCCTCCAGCGGCTGGCGGGCTTGGGGAAGCCAGGGAATAGGGGGCAGGGTAGAGGGGGGGCGGGCAGGTGGTACCCTGAGCTGCAGGGTGAGCCCAGATCTGCCCCCTCCCGCGATTGGCCCAGCTCCGGGGGCGGGGGTGGGTGCGGAGGCTGAGGCCCGGGAGTAGAGCATTGCTTTGTGTACTCCCGGGGATTTATTGCCTGTATTCATCCGGGACAACAATCCGGGCTTACCCTGTTAGGGACATTTCGGCTCCATCACCTGCCAGCGAAATGAGGCGGGTGTTGGGGGTGGAGCAGAGACCTGGGCCGTCCACGTGGGATAGATCTCCGAGCAGTAATCGCCAGTGAAGTCCCATCTGAGACAAGAAGTTTTGTTGTACACGTGCAGCCTATTCTTGGCCAGCCCATCCCCAACCCACACAACCGCACCCTGTACCATGAGTTGGAGAAAGGGAGGTGGCAGGAGGAGAGTAAGGTAGGGAGACTTTAAAACTGACTCTGAGCCCAGCCGCCTGGTTTCCCTCCAAGAGGCATCTGGAAACCTTTTTCTTCCCTCTACTAGATCACCCCAAGGGCTGCAATGGGCCTTGCCCCTAGAGAAATGTAAAATCAAATCCAGAGAAAAGCAGACACCTGCCCCGGAAGGGGGCGGGGGTGAGCTGGAGTATCCGGACGCGACCTTTCCCGGCGGCCGGATTCTTCCGTCTGCGGGAGCTCGGAGTACTCAGAGCTGGGAGCGGGAGGGGGTTAGCAGGCCAGAGGCGAGAGGGGCGAGAGGGGAGGGTGCGCCTTGGGTAAGAGGGTCCTGGCGGGCCAGGAGGAGATGCGCCTGGCAAGCCGCCGAGGCGCCCCGCGAAGCCCCAGAAGAGCTGCGCGCTAGCCGCGGGCTCCGGGCTGCCGCGCCGAGGAGGCGGTCCAACCCGCCGCCCAGCCCCTCTGCTCCCAGCCACGGAACCGCGGGCGCCCAACGCCGAGTCTGCGCGCTCAGTGGCTTAGAATTTTTCATTTTTCTCTAGCAGAGCAAAGTTACAAGATTTCTAGCACCCCGCCGGCGGGCGGCCGGAGTGGCTGCGCGCGTGCGCTGGAGCCGAGCGCCACGCTGTGTATGTCCCCGGCCGGCCGCGCGGGTGCGCGCAGGGGGGGGATACGGGTCCGTCGTGCTGGCTGTGCCTGTGGGCTCGCCCCTCCCCTCACCATTTCTCTCTCTCCCACACACGCTCATAAACACAGGGCACGTGGAAATCCTCAGCCAGAGCGCCTTGCCCGGGCGGGTGCTCAACGTGGTGATTTATAAACAGCTCAGCCACTCCCCAAAGAGCTTCGCTCCTCGTTAGTCATGATGAATTCTCTGGCCCGCTCCACTTTGCTGTCTAGATTAAGACGCTCAGAGGCCCCAAAGTACTGCCCTTGAACGTCAATTTGGCTTCCCTCATAAAGCCCCGACCGCCGAAAGCACCAGGGCTAGGGCTGCAACACACCGGGCCCAGGGTAAGAGAGGGACGCGATTCACATTCCCTGAGGTCTTTTTCCTTTTCCGCCAGCAACTTTGGATTCAATTCGCTGTATCCACGCCGCAGACTTGGCCCGGGGTAGTGGTCCCAATGCTCCGGGCCGGTTTCTCACATCCCACTCGCAGACCCGGAGTCCGACGACCAGCACCTGCTCCGGGCTGCCGGAGGACTGGAGGCGCAATGCGCTCGCGCTCGTTAGAGCCGCGCCACGGGCACACTGTCCCGTCATCTTGCTCTGGTGTTCATGGCTGCAGGCTCGCCATGGACCTTCGCCGGGGAGTCCCTGGGTTAGACCAGCCCCACCAGCCGATGCACGCAAAAGTCACTCATAGGAAGGTTCCCCTAGCATCAGCCCACTTTTCTCCACACAATCTTTCTCCTATTGGAAGCAGCTAACGGAAAAGTTGCATCAAAGCGTCCGAGGCATAAGGAAGCGCGCAGGCAGTCCCGGCGGCTCCGCTGCTAGGAGCAGCCTTTCTTGCCTCCACGACACCCGGAGGCCCAGCACACCTCACCAGCGCTCCAATCACCTCCAACAAGGTGAAGGTCGGCCTGCTCAGGTTCCTAGATTTGAAAACCAAAAACTATGCGCGCGCCCGAGCGTGTGGATCAGACAGACTTTTTAGAGTTTTGTTTTGTGTTCAGTTCAGACCGCTGTGCTGTCAGAGCAGGCAACTCCGCGCCCTAACAGAGTCTCCAACAGGCTGCTAGGGGGCCTGAACATACCTCTCTTGGTGTCCTTTCCGGAGGGCTTGGAAAATAACTGGGTTTGGAACCCAAAAGGCAGAGCGCGTGCGCTAGCGGTTGGGATAGAGGGCAAGAAAACCTTTTTTGCTAAGACAAAAGTGTCCGCACACCCAGAAGCAAGAAGCCCTGGGTGGCACTGAAATTCTAACTGCGGTGGGAAGGAGACTCCAATGGGAGGACAAGTCTTGTTTCTAGCTCTAGGTTTGAGACACTGGTGTGCGTGCGTGCGTGTGTCCCAAAGGGGGGAAAAAAAAAAATCCCTGGTTTGCTGCTGCAACTCATCCTTTCTCTTCTCTCCCCCACCCTCAGGCCTCGGGCCCTGTTGGAAAGAGAAAGTGGACAGACAACACCCCCCCCCGCCCCCCGCAAGTCTTCCAAGTATCTGTGGTCTATAGGAGCTCTGGGGCAGCACCCCCGCAGCCCCCCCCATACACACACACACACACACACACACCCCTCCCGCGCCGCCACTAGGCTTGGGAGACAGATGGGGGGCGGGGCGCATCCTAGAGGGGCGGAGAGGGACGGGGGTGTCAGGCTGCAAGGGGAGGTGATAACTAAGAGAATCTGAATCGGGTGGCGAGGGGGCCAGGGGGCGGGCCGAGAGGACTCTGCGCGCGGGGGAGGGCGCGGGGGCCGCTCTGCGCCAATCAGGGGCGCCGGCCTGGGAGGTTGCTAGCGGTATCCACGTAAATCAAAGGGCGCGGAGCCAATGGGAGGGGGCGGAGAGGGCGGGGCCCAGGCGCGTGCCGCCGCGAGCCGGCGCTGCCAAGAGAGCGGGAGAGAGCTGGAGAGAGCCGGGAGAGGGGGGCGCTCCGAGCTAGTCGGGAGTGAGCGAGAGCAAGCAGGAGGGAGAGCAGGAGAAAGGGAGCGCGGGCGGGCGGGCGGGCGGGCGCGCGGGCGAGCGGGCGGCGGCGGCAGCAGCAGCGAGAGCCGGAGCCGCGGCAGCAGCAGGCGTCGGGGAGCGGGCGTCGGAGCTGCCCGCCGGGGGCCCGCGAGCCGGGCGAGCGAGCGAGCGCGAGCGATCGGGGAGAGGAGCCCGCGGCGAAAAAGTAACTGTCAAATGCGCGGCTCCTTTAACCGGAGCGCTCAGTCCGGCTCCCAGAGTCATGGCGACCGCAGCGTCTAACCACTACAGCCTGCTCACCTCCAGCGCCTCCATCGTGCACGCCGAGCCGCCCGGCGGCATGCAGCAGGGCGCGGGGGGCTACCGCGAGGCGCAGAGCCTGGTGCAGGGCGACTACGGCGCGCTGCAGAGCAACGGGCACCCGCTCAGCCACGCTCACCAGTGGATCACCGCGCTGTCCCACGGCGCCGGCGGGGGCGGCGGCGCGGGCGCCGGCGGGGGCGGGGGCGGCGGTGGGGGCGGCGGGGACGGCTCCCCGTGGTCCACCAGCCCCCTGGGCCAGCCGGACATCAAGCCCTCGGTGGTGGTGCCGCAGGGCGGCCGCGGCGACGAGCTGCACGGGCCGGGGGCCCTGCAGCAGCAGCAGCAGCAGCAGCACCAGCAGCAGCAGCAGCAGCAGCAGCAACAGCAGCAGCAGCAGCAGCAGCAGCGGCCGCCGCATCTGGTGCACCACGCCGCCAACCACCACCCGGGGCCCGGGGCATGGCGCAGCGCGGCGGCCGCGGCGCACCTCCCGCCCTCCATGGGGGCGTCCAACGGCGGCTTGCTCTACTCGCAGCCCAGCTTCACCGTGAACGGCATGCTGGGCGCCGGCGGGCAGCCGGCCGGGCTGCACCACCACGGCCTGCGGGACGCGCACGACGAGCCGCACCACGCCGACCACCACCCGCACCCGCACCCGCACCCGCACCCGCAGGCCCCGCCGCCGCCGCCGCCCGGCCCGCCCGGCCACCCGGGGCGCACCACGACCCGCACTCGGACGAGGACACGCCGACCTCGGACGACCTGGAGCAGTTTGCCAAGCAGTTCAAGCAGCGGCGGATCAAACTGGGATTTACCCAAGCGGACGTGGGGCTGGCGCTGGGCACCCTGTACGGCAACGTGTTCTCGCAGACCACCATCTGCAGGTTTGAGGCCCTGCAGCTGAGCTTCAAGAACATGTGCAAGCTGAAGCCTTTGTTGAACAAGTGGTTGGAGGAGGCGGACTCGTCCTCGGGCAGCCCCACGAGCATAGACAAGATCGCAGCGCAGGGGCGCAAGAGGAAAAAGCGGACCTCCATCGAGGTGAGCGTCAAGGGGGCTCTGGAGAGCCATTTCCTCAAATGCCCCAAGCCCTCGGCCCAGGAGATCACCTCCCTCGCGGACAGCTTACAGCTGGAGAAGGAGGTGGTGAGAGTTTGGTTTTGTAACAGGAGACAGAAAGAGAAAAGGATGACCCCTCCCGGAGGGACTCTGCCGGGCGCCGAGGATGTGTACGGGGGGAGTAGGGACACGCCACCACACCACGGGGTGCAGACGCCCGTCCAGTGAACTCGAGCGGGGGGAGGGGCAGAGCGCGGGGCTCCCCCTCCCCTTCGGTCCACGGCCCTTTCCCGGTCCCCTTGTTCCCTCTCTAACTTCGGATTGTTCTTTTGTTTTTAATTATTATTTCCCCGTCCCTTAAAAAGAAAAACAAATAAGGAAAGCAACTAAGGCACTGGACTATCCTTTAAATGGTAGCAGGTGTAATGATGTGTTTTGACCTTTTCAGGCTAGTACCCAGGCGGTGGAGTGGTGTCCCAGAGAGAGTGAGGAGTGCGTGAGAGAGAGAGAGAGAGAGAGAGAGAGAGAGAGAAGATCGATGGCAAGCACTGAGATTAATACCTGGCAAAACTATATAAATTACCAAAAAGAGAAAAAAAAAATTCCACCAAACAGTGATGAACACAAAACACAGCGTGCGGATGCTCTGAGTTGGCACATGCTGCTGTGTTTATTTAATATGGATCCCCATCAGGAAAGAGGCAAACATACACGTTCTTTGATGTAGGCAAAATTGAACCACATAAATTTGCACTGCAAGAAAATTGAAGTTTACATGGACAAATTCATGAACATGTTTTTTCTTTTTCCCACCATGGATTTTGAAATGCCCGGGTTCTGTTTTGTTTCATTCTTTGGAGAGAGTTGAAGGGGCCCTTGGCCACTCTCCCTTCTCTGGTCTTCTTGTGTTGCCCCTTGTTCTTCTTACTGTCTGTGAACTTTGGTTCCCTCCAGATCTTCTGTTTCCCCCTTACATTGGTTTCACGTTTATTTGCTCCTTTTACCAAAGCAAAACGATTGGCTTCGTACAAAATAAATATTTCTCTGCTTTCAGGAATATGCATGGGCTACCCGCTTTATCCAAGGCAAAAATCCAGTTTGGAATACAAAAGTGAGAGTCAAGCATTGGCTTTTGTTACCACCCACAAAGTAAACTTCATTTTCAGGCAGTGTTTTTGGGGGGAGGTCGTGTAGGGGAGAAAAAGAAAAATCGATAGTGAGTGACTGATTGCTTCATTTTATCAGGCCAGCCCATTGTGAAAGAGCTCAGAGGAAATGTGGAGGTTAAATATATTTCCAGAGTTGTCCAACAGAAAGTGGCACTTTGAAGAGAACTGGGGAAATATATGTCTTCAGACACCCCCTGTATAGTTCTCTGCCTTCAGTTTTAATAACTTAATTATGAGAAATTATTTGTGCTGATAGCAGCAGTTAAACTTTGTTCCACTAGTACTTTTTTTTTTTTTAGCATAAAGAAAATAACCTGGGAACTTAATGGTGTATGCATAGACTGTTTCTTAGTACACAAATACCCACATGCATACAGAGAATATCATCACTGATAGACTGATTTTGTCTTCACTAGCTCATTTGTTTATCAAATCATATTCAAGGTCCTGCACCCTCTTCTCTCGTGTAAGTTATTACAAGAAAAAATCCTTTTTGACTTGGACAGCTTTTCTCCCCTCTTTCACTAAAAAAGCCAATTGGGAAAAAAAAATGCTATTTTCAATTCTTCTTTTTCTCCCATTGTTAATAGTTTGAAGTGCATTTCTTTTACTTTATCTTGATGGAAAATGGTTAACTCCCATAACAAAAGACTCCACTGGAAAGTGTAGGTGCAAAAAACTTGTAACTGTATTGAAAATAAATACCATTAAACTGTGATCAGTGAAAATATTAAGAAAATAATCAGCACAAAAGGGCGCTAAAAGGGAAAACACTTTTTATTAATCTTAGAAGTTTGAGACTTTTTTTTTTTTCTGGTTAGGTACTAGACAGATTTCATTTAAAAAATTAAATTCTCACTACCAGAAAATCATGGTTCGGCATCAGATTAGCATTGCACTCAAGAAGTTAAGGTTTTAGGAAATATGCTTTCTGCTGTCTTTTCAAACACCTGTAATTGTTTCATTTTCAATGTTTTGCAAGATAAATGACTTATCATGGGCATATTTATTTGCCTGTATTTCATTTCCCCCAACGAATGTCACAAGGAGATGGGCATGGAGCTGCTTCGGGGTGCATCATGCTGCTTGTTCCTGAGGTGTGAGGACTGACCTTTAGTGAAGCAGTCCAGGGCAGGGCAAATAGCCAATGGTAAAGGGAGGAAATGATTTTTCAGATTCTTATTACCAAGTGGGCAAGGTCAGAAGCTGAAGTTCAGGGGATGTCTCTAGCTCCTCTAACTCTCCTATAGGTTTACTAAGATGAAAGTTACCACTGAACCTTACCACTATGTATATATGTTTAATATCTGTCTTTTGAAATGCAGAAATAGTTTAAATGTTTCTTTGTCTATTTTTCTTTTTTTTTTTTTAATGCTACCCAGGGAAATATTTTCATATCATTTTTAAGTGGCCTGCCTCAATGTATATTTATTTCTTTTAAAGCAAAAAGGTTCTGGAAACTGTTTTTCTGTAGCTTTAAATGAGTAGGTGAGCAAAAACTATATGGGATGTAATTTTTTTTGTTCAGTCTCTTTAAAAATACTTTGTTTTGGTACATTTGGTTGTGCTTGTGGGGAAAATAAAAACGCAGAGATCCTTATATATTTATGTTAAAGTAATATTTTATTATCTACATAAAACAGAAATGCACAATACCTTCATAGTTTGTTCTAATTATTGAAAAATCTTTATTTTATTTTTAAAGATAGTGCCAAGTTTTAAGGGGGGAGAATCCTAGACCTTATACAGATTGAGTTGAGTTGTGTGTAAAACACTTCCCTTCCTTTATACTTCATAAAGTTTTGGAATAAATTTTATGCATATACTGCCAGGTTTCATGTTTATAACTTTCAGAGGCTTTTTAAAAGGGAAACTACTGTTCTGATTTACTTTTCTGTGCAAAAACTATCAGTTCCAAACCTTTCAGTCACTACATCTGTAGCATTAAATTGAAATGGTCATTGGGTTTGAGCTTCAATTTGTTTGCCATTTTGTGGTCCCACAAAGAGATATTTGTTTCTTTTAAATATACACAGCTATCCCTGCATCTTCTTTCCAGGTTAGCTTTATCTTATGCAATTGTACTTTTTGGGAAAACATCAATGGAACGAGATAGACTTTAATCTTTACTCACATGCCCTCACATAATTTGGGAGCTAGAGGGAAAAAAATAGTTAAGGGGTTATTCTTTTTAATAATTAAATATTTTTCAACAAAGAGTAATTCTGACGATATGCAATATGTCAGACATGTTATGTGTCAGACAAACAATATGTGTTTACCAAGTAATTAGAGGTAGGTCCTATATATTATTCCTATTAGGTTGTCAGAAAAAGATGGAGTTTGTAATGGTTTATACAGTAATGTCTGTTTCTCGACAAGCAAGCAAACAGGATCTGAAACAATTAAAAAGAAAAGAATGTACGGGAAGAGACTCAAAACCATGATACTAAAACCAGATTGTTTCCAGTAGTCCTAGCTGGAACATTACACTTACCAAAATCTGTTTAAAGGCTGGTGAGAAATTCAAGCAGTCTTGGGTTACTTTGCAAGTTTGTGATGGATTTAAAGTACTCCTTGGAACATTTGTTTAAATATAAATGTCCACTTGGAAAGGTAGTTTCTGGGCTTATTACTCTGATCATCTTTTCTAACTCCTAGTCAATATTACACAGGTCCCAAACAGATTCAGCCAAATGATCTTATCAATAGTCTGAACGAGTAGTGACAGAAAGAAGAAGTGTTTTGTGACCGCAGACATGCTGATGGGTAAAATGTTTAAGCTGGCTATAGATTTGAGTTCTGGGTCAATATCCTCCTCCATTGTAGGCAGAAAACAAGCAGCATCTGCCCTCTGCAGGGCATTTTAGTGGACCTTGAGAAGGAGTTTTTTGTTCTTAGCCACAGGGGCTACTGACTGGAAACCATCACATGTTAAACGGACACACCATGGTTTTGACCCATGCTTGCTTTTCAGATTCTAAAACTACTCAGGCAGCTTCAATGCCGGTTTGGGTAATGTCTACCAGGCTAAGGTCGGAAAAGTGCATTACTGCCACTGGAAGAAATCTGTGGGGGGCAGTCGTCCCCAAAATGTTGGCTAGTTCCAATGACAAGTCCTTTCTTTACCCTAAAGACAATAATGCAGAACAGGCCCATCTGGAAAAGATCTCCTGTGTTTCCTCAAAATAGATCAGTTTTTACTTTTTTGTGTGTGTGTGTGTGTGCAAGAGGAAGAAGATATGATCATGTGGGAGAATTATGTGAAGGTCAGATGGAGGGAATGGCCACCAATATTATGTTTTGCACTTCTTAATATCCTCGGTTGCACGAAGTTACCTCCTTTATAGTTCAGATGGAAGCAACAAAAGCTCTCTTTTCCCATCCCTCCTGCTCTTGCTAGTGGAAGCTACACAGTGGTTGGCAAAAATTTCTGGCAAAATGGCTTTAGTAAAGGCAATCATCTTTGTGTTTCCTTTTTTTCTCTAATAGCAACTAATAAAGAGATACAGCAGCAACAATGGGGGGAGAGGGCACGTGCGGCATGGTACCTGTGCATGTGTGTCTGTATGCTGCTTTCATTTGCCTTACTTTGGAAGCAGCTTGGCTAGTGCTGAGTTGCTGGCTGAGAGAGATTATCTTTTTTATCACTGGTCTCTGTGATTTGTCTTTGTTGATTTTTCAATCAGTTTATAGAACTAAGTTCTAGATTCTATTGAATGACTAGACAAGTTAAAGAGTGAGCTTAAAGAACAGAACTTGTACAGAAAATGAAGAAAGGATGGCGAAGTGAGGGTCAAAGGTAAAAGTGTTTCTTTGGGTCTGCTTGTGAGGCAAAGGAGAAAGTTTATTTAAAATGAAAGAAAAAAAAAGATGTATCTTGACATACTATATATGAATCTTGACAATATGAGTAAACGGGATGTACAGATAAATTTTATACAAACATTTGCCCTATTCAGGAAAGTTTACTTTTTCAATGATGCATAATCTCCTAACAGGGCAGATGGTGGTAGAAGAGCTCCTCATACCCATCCCCACTACTTGGTTCAGGATGGAAAATAATCTGAAAGTAGCAGGAGGAGCTTTCCAAATCATGGAATAAACTTGC